TATATATATATATATATATATATATACACACACAATTGGGCTTGTAGAATGAATTTTAGAAACTCAAAATTTCATCTTTCTACGGATTGGATCTACGGTCTGTAGATCAAATAACGGATCATAGATGACCCTCGTGAATTGTTCCGAGTTTTTCAGTAAGGATTCTTTTGATTTTTTTTCATTCTTCCTAATTAGCTCAGGCCTCGATTTTTTAACTTCAAGTAGGGGAGTATATCTTATCAAGCATTTAGTTCTCATTATTCTATGCTCTCAACTCCTCAAATTTAGAACAAACAATAAGAAAGACTAAGAACTAATATTACAAGACTACCAATCAAGATTCTCTTTGATATCATTTCCTTAGGTATGTAAGGGGTTCAATAAGGGAATCTTTTCACTCTCATACCTAAATTGTGTCTAATTTCAAGATTTCTATAAATTGTTAGAAGCCAAGTTAGGATTTTTACGCTATTCACGATTTTCCTCACAAGCTTATGTTCTTGATTAGTTCACTTCAGTTTTTTAAACCTTATTGAACTAGTTTAGCATGTTTTTTAGGGTTCTTTGATTTTGATGGATTCTGTCATATTTATGAGCATTAACATATGTATATTATTTTGGGAGGGAAATTTAGTGTCGAAAGGATACATATTTTAGAAAAATCTCAATTCATAACTACGTGCCACAGTAGGATTATGTTTCACCGCTTTGTCGACAGATTAATGTCAGGACTCAAAGTTCACCCTAGGCGTGACATGGCGTATAAGATCCTGAGAGACCCTACACAAGCCACTTGACATACATACAACACAATCTAATAGAAAATATGAGAATTTAAGTAGGAAATCTCATATCATAAATGTAATTAACGACATGGTTCCGTCGTCATAGAAAAGCCAACGGGAAAATTTTTTGGGTCGGAAAACTTTTTCGTAGTAACTTGAAGTTTCTCAACCTAGTCTAGATTTGGACGAAATCGGAGTCGTTGAAGTGTAGGGAAATTTGGTAACAACCGGGTGACTTATTTATGATTTTGATTACATGAGTATTTAGATAAGTTGATAAGGAACCCGTACAACTTTACGAAATTGAATTCGGGTGAGTAGAACTCCCGAAATTGATCTTAGCGTGATCGGTATTTTCTTAGCGTCGTTGGTTAAAGGTGTGTTGTGAAATGGGGGTTTTGAAATTATTAAAATAGCTCACTGGTTCCGTGCAAGCCGTTGGGGCGGGATTTCTACCGCCAGGGAGGGGCCGCTGTAGCGGGGTGAGGACCGTTGTGACAGGGTCGACACGACTTAAGGTCGTAAATAAACCCACGTCTTTATTCTGCACTTTTCAATTTTTATAGCTAAGGAACGAACCCCATGCGACTCTTGACAGTTTTCCACCATTCTTGAGGCTAAAGGTAAGTTTTTCACTCCCCGAATTCATTTTTCGATTCGTGAAACGTAATAGAATGGTAATTATCAATGGGGGAGAGTTTTGAATTGGAAACCATGGTGTAAAAAGCCCTAGTTTGGATACTTGGGATCATGGGTATGATTTAGGGTTGTTAGAATTGCCAGTAATCCGGGTAATTAGTGATTATTTATTGAATCCCGTGTTATTATGATTGTTTGTAGACCAAGAACAAGCGGAACGAATCCGGAAAGGGAAGGATCAAGTTTCTTAGGGTTTTAAGCTTGTATTGAGGTAGGTGGTGGTTGTGATTCTATGATTGTGTGATGTATGTTTGTTCTTGCTTAATTATGATACATGTATGTATGCGAATGTTGCATTATTGATCACACTTGTTGTAAATGAGATAGATGAATAACTATATGCCATGAATCACTTATTGATTGTATGATTATTGAGAATGTACTTGTGATTGTGGTGTGTTGATTAGATGGGATACCGCGTTTTGGTATACTAATTGGGATCGGTTGCCACATTTCGGCATAATTATGGGATCGGTTACCACGTTCCGGCATAAAAATTGGATCGGGTACCACGTTCCGGTATGCTAACAGTTTGGGTTTGGGTTCCATGAGAGGACCAATGACTTGTTATAAATGTATATTGTTGCGCATGTGATAATCGATATTGTATATGTTCGGTATGTTGCATGTTTGTAATGTTGTATTGACTTGCTTATGTTACACTTAGTGGGATATCCGCGTGATCCTACTAGTACACTGTGGTTGTGTACTAATACTGCACTTGCTCTTTCTTTGTTGAGTACTAGGCATCTTCAAGCGGCTATTGACAGACCACACTTAGAAAATCAGTGATCGTCGATCGAATTCAAGCGTGAGCCAGTTCCTCCAGTTTGCCATGAGTTCTTCTTTCTGTCTTTGTCCACATTTCGAACTTAGATTTTCTAATTAGTTGTTAGTTCATTAGTTGGGGTTGTATCCCTTCTTGTTTAGACTTTGGTTCATTGTTAGATGTTTTGGTACATTGACTTTTAGGTTCTAAGTGTATTTTCCGCATTGTTAGTTGTTAGATCTTTTGGAAGTTTATGGGAACTTCAGTTTTTAGATATTATTCCTGTTTTTGTATCCTTAAATGCTTTAGTTTTTGGTTTAGTTGTTTGGTTTGGGTTGTAGTAGTGGTTCTCCCAGCGGAGGGTTTGTGTGGGTGCCAATCACAATTGTATGGGTCGTGACAAAGTTGGTATCAGAGACTAGGTTGGTTGATCTCGATGTACCAAAATGAGTCAAGTAGAGTCTTGCGGAATGGTACGGGTACTTCTTTACTTTTCTTCGAGAGGCAATAGGACTTTAGGAAATCTCTCTGTTTTCTCTTGTCTTCTTTCGTGCAATGACTTGATTCCAATTGATATCTGGCTATTCAAATTGGTATCTAACCGTCTTTACTCTTCTGTCCGCAGATGGTTAATACTAGATTCAACGGCGTCACGCCTGTAGTTCCCGTCAATGCTCCAGCTGAGGAATTTGCAGCGAGAGGTCGCAGTCGAAGCAGGGGTAGAAGAAGAGCTAGTGGTAGAGGCCGAGGTAGAGTGATACCTACTAGAGATGGGGTACCGATCTGAAATGCTTCCCAAAATGAGGCCCCTCATGTGCATCATGAAGAGATAAAAGAGGATATTGAGGTTGAAAATGTTGAGGAGGTTGGACAAGAGGAAGAGTTGCAGGCTGAGACTACCAATGTTCTTCCCATAGACCCAGTGTTAGCTCGACAAATCATGTCATTCTTGAAAGGGTTGGTTGGTCCTGGAGTGCTTCTTTCTATTCAAGCAACTCAAGCTTCTGCTAATCCCCCTGTTGCTAGCACTGCACCCAAGACGAGTGAAACGGGAGGTAATGATGCTTTCTTCCGTCCTTTGTTGGGTTCTGTTATGACTGATAATGAGCATGAAATATTGACTAAGTTTTTGAAGCTAAAGCCTCCCGTGTTTCTTGGTTTTGAGAATGAGGATGCTTATGAGTTCATCTTAGATTGCTATGAGATGCTTCATAAATTGGGAATTGTCCATCAACATGGAGTTGAGTTTGTGACTTTTCAGCTTCAAGGTGAGGCTAAACAGTGGTGGAGAGCTTATATGGAATGTAGATCTTCAACTTTACCTCCACTAGGGGTGTGCATTCGGTTTTTCATTTTGGTTTTGCACTATTCGATTTGGATTTTTTGATTTTTAGTTTTGTAAAAGTGTAATCCAATCCGATCCAAAATAAATTTGGTTTGGTTTGGTTTTCGTCTATTTGGTTCGGCTTTTTTCGGTTTGGTCATTCGGTTATGTCAATATTTAATAACATAACCAAAGTAGTAATATTGAATCTCTTAAATATACTTTCTAATATAAATCATAAGTAGAACTTAAAACACAATGCTTATAAGTATACCTACTATAGATTGTCAAACATAAAATATAAATGTAATCATCATGAAAGGCAATAACCAAAAAATAACAAAAGTGGTTAACTCCAACTTAATTCTAACCCTAAGCATTATATATATATATAATTTGGTTTTTTCGGTTTTTATTTTTTAATATCCAAAATCAAATCAGAAAACCAAACAAAGTAATTTATTAATTCAAAACCAATCCAAAAAACCAAAAACCCAATCCAAATAAAATTTCGGTTTGATTTAATTTGGTTATTCGGTTTAATACGAATAGTGCACACCCCTAACCTCCACCCTCTTGGACCCAGTTTCATGCTCTGTTTTTGAAGAAATATGTGCCTAGAACTTTGAGAGATTGCACGAAGAATGAGTTCATGGCTTTGGAGCAAGGTGGTATGTATGTGGTTGCTTATGAGTCCAAGTTTCATACTTTGTCTAGATATGCTACTCAATTGGTGACTACTGAGGAGGAGAGGATTCGTTTATTTATTAGGGGACTAAGTTCTGAGTTGCAGGTATTATCTGTTCATATGACCTCTGCATGCATGAGCTTTAATGAGGTAACAAACTATGTTAAAAAAGTGGAGGGGGTGAGGTGAGACGGTTAGGCTAAGGCATTGGCAAAAAGGGCCAAGGATTCAGGCAACTTTCAAGGTTCTTATTTCAGAGGTTCAGGGAGACCAACGCTTGTAGCCAAGCCAATTTAGTATGCTATGCCCGCCTCTACAGGTAATAACTCAGGAACTACATCTCATAGTTTGATTCATGATAGCCAAGGAGTCGCGCCTTTGGCGGGCAACAAACCATCTTTTGATCATACATGTTACAACTTTGGTAAACCTGGGCATATGAGGAGAGATTGTCCCCACCTACCGCACAACAGCATGCTAGAGCAGTGGCACCCGCGGGAAATTATAATAATGGTAGAGGACGTCCACAAGTTGGGCGAGGAGGTAATCCGCAAGGCCGTGGAGGTAGAGAAAATGGTAACGAAGGCAGGGGTAACGTGCAACCAGGCAGGGAAGTAGCTCATCAAGATGATAGGGCTCAGTGTTATGCGTTTCCGGGCAAGAATGAGGCATAGGCGTCTGACGCAGTGATCACAAGTACTATTCTTGTCTGTGACCGGATGGCTAATGTGTTATTTGATTCGGGTTCTACTTATTCATATGTATCTGTGCGATTTGCCTCAGAATTTGCTCTGATTTGTGATATATTTGATGCCCCTATCCATGTTTCTACCCCAATTGGAAAGTCAGTCATAGTCGCCCATGTCTATCTTGCTTGTCCTATTTTGTTTATGGGTTTTCAGACTTGGGCTGATTTGGTGATTTTGAATATGACCAATTTTGATATAATCTTAGGCATGACTTGGTTATCCCTCTATTATGTTGTGCTTAATTGTAATACTAAGTCTATAACTCTAGAAATTTCAGGAAGGGAAAAAGTTAGAGTGGAAAGGGGTGTACAAGTCTAAGCAAGCTAAGATAATTAACTCCATTCGAGTTAGTAAACTGGTAGGGCAGGGTTGTTTGGCTTATTTGGCTCATATTCGAGATGTTGATGTTGAGTCTCCATCTATTGAGTCTATTCATGTGGTGTCATAATTTAGAGAAGTGTTTCCTAATGATTTGCCCGGTATGCCTCCGAATAGGGATATAGACTTCTGCATTGATTTAGAACCTGGTACTCGTCCCATTTCTATCCTTCCATATCGCATGCTCCGGCATAATTAAGAGAGCTTAAGGCCCAAATCCAAGAGCTTCTTGATAAGAGATTTATTCGTCCTAGTGCTTCCCCATGGGATGCTCCAGTGTTATTTGTTAAGAAAAATGATGGTTGTATGAGAATGTGTATAGATTATCGGCAATTGAATAGGCTCACTATTTGAAACAAGTATCTTTTGCCTCGAATAAATGATCTTTATGACCAATTGCAAGGTGCATCAGTTTTTCTCTAAGATTGATCTAAAGTCTGGATACCACAAGTTGAAAATTAGGCCTGAGGATGTGCCTAAGACGGCGTTTAGGACTCGCTACGGGCACTATGAGTTTTTGGTTATGTCTTTTGGTTTGACCAATGCGCCTGTAGCTTTCATGAGTTTAATGAATGGGGTGTTCAATCCATTTCTTGATTCTTTTTTCATAGTCTTTATTGATGATATTTTGGTCTATTCGAAAAGTGAGGAAGAGCATGCCGACCATCTTCGCATTGTTTTGGGTGTTCTTGGGAACAAAGGTTATATGCGAAATTCTCTAAGTGTGAATTTTGGTTGACTTTGGTTGCATTTTTGGGGTCATGTAGTTTCAAAATAAGGGTAATGATAGATCCCCAAAAGATTGAGGCGGTTAAGAATTGGGTTCGGCCTAGCTCTGTGATGAAAGTTAGGAGTTTTGTGGGGCTCGCTAGCTATTATCGTCGATTTGTGAAGAACTTTGCTTCTATTGCCACTCGCTTGACTAATTTGACCAAAAAAGATATACCATTTGAATAGACTGAAAAATGTGAGGAGAGCTTCCAAAAGCTCAAGACTCTCTTGACCACCGCGCCTATTCTAGCATTACCAATTGAAGGTAAATATTTTATTATTTATTGTGATGCTTCACATTCTGGTTTGGGTGTTGTGTTGATGCAGAATAAGAATGTTATAGTTTATGCCTCGCGTCAATTAAAGGTGCATGAGAGGAATTATCCAACAAATGATTTGGAGTTGACAGCGGTAGTGTCTGCTCTTAAGATTTGGCGCCATTACCCCTATGGTGTTAAGTGTGAAGTGTTTACTGATCATCGTAGTTTGCAGCATGCGTTCACTCAAAAGAATCTGAATTTGAGATAACGAAGGTGGATGGAGTTACTCAAGGATTATGATGTGACCATTCAATACCATCCGAGCAAGGCTAATGTGTTGGCAGACGCTTTGAGTCGAAAAGCGGTGAGTATAGGTAGTTTAGCTTGCTTGAGGGTATCCAAGCGACATTTGGCTAAGGAAATTTAGGCCTTAGAGTCTAAGTTCATGCAGTTGGACATCTCAGAAAGAGATGGGGTGTTAGCTAGTATTGAAGTAAGGGCCACATTCATTGAGGAGATCAAGGCCAAACAGTTTGAGAATGAGAATTTGGAGGAGATTAGAAAAAAAGCTATGATTGGTAAGGCACAAGACACCAATCTTGATGCGGAAGATGTGCTCAATGTTAAAGGGAGGATTTGTGTTCCTCGAGTTGATAATTTGATTCAAAAGTTGTTGATAGAGTCCTATGGTTTGCGATATTCTATTCATTTGGGTGTGACCAAGACGTACCGAGATTTGAAGCTAATTTATTGGTGGTCGGGCATGCAGAAAGGTATAACGGAGTTTGTGGCTAAGTGTCAAAATTGACAACAAGTAAAATATGAACACCAAAGGCCTGTAGGCTTGCTTCAAAGAACATCAATTCTGGATTGGAAGTGGAAAATGATAGCCATGGATTTTGTGGTTGGTCTTCCCAAGACTTTGGGGAAATTTGATTTTATTTGGGTAGTGGTTGATAGATTGACTAATTCAGCCCATTTTATTCCGGTAAGAATAGATTATAATGCTGAACAATTAGCTAAGTTGTATGTGAAAGAGATAGTGAGGTTGCATGGGGTGCCCCTCTCTATCATCTCAGACCGTGGTACCCAATTCACATCCAAGTTTTGGAGGAAATTACATGATGAATTAGGCACACAACTCACTTTTAGTACAACCTTCCATCCACAAACAGAAGGTCAGTCAGAGAGGACTATTCAAGTGTTAGAAGACATGTTGAGGGCATGTGCGATTGACTTTAGAGGGCATTGGGATAAGTTCCTACCATTGTGTGAGTTCTCATATAATAATAGTTATCACTCCAGCATAGATATGGAACGATTTAAGGCACTCTATGGGAAGGGATGTAGATCACCCATATGATGGTTTGAGGCTGGATATGTGAAACCTTTGGGGTTTGATTTAGTGAAGGATGCTCAAGATAAGGTGAGGAGTATTTGAGCTAAGCTTTTAGCAGCCCAGAGTAGACAGAAGAAGTATGCGGATCATAAGGTGAGAGACATGACATTTCAAACCGGTGAGAATGTTCTTCTTAAGGTATCACCCATGAAAGGGGTGATGGATTTGGGAAGAAGGGCAAACTAAGTTCGCGATACATTGGTCCC